GCATGGTATCCTTGTCATTATGGAAGGTAGTGTCTTGTTTATATTTTAATTACTCCAATGGATGGTAGCCTTGTCATTGTGGAAGGTAGTCTGTTGTCGAGATTTTTGTTACTATAATGGATGGTAGCATTGTCATTATGGAAGGCAGTTTGTTGTCGAGATTTTTGTTACTCCAATGGATGGTAGCCTTGTCATTATGGAAGGTAGTTTATTGTCGAGATTTTTGTTACTCCAATGGATGGTAGCATTGTCATTATGGAAAGTAGACTATTGTCATGATTTTTGTTACTACAATGTATGGTATCCTTGTCATTGTGGAAGGTAGTTTGTTGTTGAGATTTTTGTTATTACAATGCATGGTAGCCTTGTCATTATAGAAGGTAGTCTATTGTCGATATCTTTGTTTCTCTAATGGATGGTAGCCCAGTCATTATGGAAGGTAGTCTATTGTCAAGATTTTTGTCACTCCAATGGATGATAGCCTTGTCATTATGGAAGGTAGTCTGTTGGCGAGATTTTTGTTACTCCAAATGATGGTAGCCTTGTCATTATGGAAGATAGTCTCTTGTTGATATTTTCGTTACTCCAATGGATGGTAGACTTGTCATTATGGAAGGTAATTTTTTGCCTAGATTTTTGTTACTCTAATGGATGGTAGCCTTGTCATTATGGAAGGTAGTCTGTTGTCGAGATTTTTGTTACTCCAATGGATGGTAGCATTGTCATTATTGAAGGTAGACTATTGTCGAGATTTTTGTTACTCTAATGGATGGTAGCCTTGTCATTATGGAAGGTAGTCTATTGTCGAGATTTTTGTTACTCCATCTGATGGTAGCATTATCATTATGGAAGGTAGTGTGTTGTCGAAATCTTTGTTACTCCAATGGATGGTAGCCTAGTCATTATGGAAGGTAGTCTATTGTCGAGATTTTTGTCACTCCATAGGATGGTAGCCTTGTCGTTATTGAAGGTAGTCTGTTGTCGATATTTTAGTTACTCCAATGGATGGTAGCCATGTCATTATGGAAGGTAGTATATTGCCTAGATTTTTGCCAATCCAATGGATGGTAGCCTTGTCATTATGGAAGGTAGTCACTTGTTGATATTTTCATTACTCCAATGGATGGTAGCCTAGTCATTATGGAAGGTAGTCTGTTGTCGAGATCTTCGTTACTCTAATGGATGGTAGCCTTGTCATTATGCAAGGTAGTCTGTTGACGATATTTTATTTACTCCAATGGATAGTAGCCTTGTTATTATGGAAGGTAGTCTGTTGTCGAGATTTTTGTCACTACAATGGATGGTAGCCTTGTCATTAGGGAAGTTAGTATGTTGGCGAGATTTTTGTTACTCCAATGGATGGTAGCCTTGTCATTATAGAAGGTAGTCTCATGTTGATATTTTCGTTACACCGATGGATGGTAGCATTGTCATTATGGAAGGTAGTTTTTTGTCGAGATTTTTGTTACTCCAATGGATAGTAGCCTTGTCATTATGGAAGGTAGTCTGTTGTCGAGATTTTGTTACTCCAATGGATGGTAGCCTTGTCATTATGGAAGGTAGTCTATTGTCGAGATTTTTGTCACTCCAAAGGATGGTAGCCTTGTCATTATGGAAGGTAGTATGTTGTCGATATTTTTGTTACTCCAATGGATGGTAGCCTTGTCATTATGGAAGGTAGTCTATTGTAGAGATTTTTGTCACTCCAATGGATGGTAACCTTGTAATTATGGAAGTTAGTCTGTCGGCGATATTATTGTTACTCCAATTGATGGTAGCCTTGTCATTATGGAAGGTAGTCTCTTGTTGATATTTTCATTACTCCAATGCATGGTAGCCTTGTTATTATGGAAGGTAGTCTCTTGTTGATATTTTCATTACTCTAATGGATGGTAGCCTTGTCATTATGGAAGGTAGTCTCTTGTTGATATTTTCATTACTCCAATGGATGGTAGCCTTGTCATTATGGAAGGTAGTCTCTTGTTGATATTTTCATTACTCCAATGGATGGTAGCCTAGTCATTATGGAAGGTAGTCTGTTGTCGAGATCTTCGTTACTCTAATGGATGGTAGCCTTGTCATTATGCAAGGTAGTCTGTTGTCGATATTTTATTTACTCCAATGGATAGTAGCCTTGTTATTATGGAAGGTAGTCTATTGTCGAGATTTTTGTCACTCCAATGGATGGTTGCTTTGTCATTATGGAAGGTAGTCTGTTGGCGAGATTTTTGTTACTCCAATGCATGGTAGCCTTGTCATTATGGAAGGTAGTCTCTTGTTGATATTTTCATTACTCCAATGGATGGTAGCCTTGTCATTATGGAAGGTAGTTTGTTGTCAAGATTTTTTTTACTCCAATGGATGGTAGCCTTTTCATTATAGAAGGTAGTCTATTGTCGAGATTTTTGTTACTCCAACGGATGGTAGCGTTGTTATTATGGAAAGTAGACTATTGTCGAGAGTTTTGTTACTACGATGTATGGTAACCTTGTCATTGTGAAAGGTAGTTTGTTCTCAAGATTTTTGTTTTTACAATGTATGGTAGCCTTGTCATTATAGAAGGTAGTCTCTTGTTGATATTTTCATTAGTCCAATGGATGGTATCCTAGTCATTATAGAAGGTAGTCTATTGTCGAGATTTTTGTCACTACAAAGGATGGTAGCCTTGTCATTATGGAAGGTAGTCTGATGTCGATATTTTTGTTACTCCAATGGATCGTAGCCTTGTCATTATGGAAGGTAGTCTATTGTCGAGATTTTTGTCACTCCAATGGATGGTAGCCTTGTCATTAGGGAAGTTAGTATGATAGCGAAATTTTTGTTACTCCAATGGATGGTAGACTTGTCATTATAGAAGGTAGTCTCTTGTTGATATTTTCTTTACACCAATGGATGGTAGCATTGTCATTATGGAAGGTAGTTTTTTGTCGATATTTTTGTTACTCCAATGGATGGTAGCCTTGTCATTATGGAAGGTAGTTTGTTATCGAGATTTTTGTTACTCCAATGGATAGTAGACTTGTCATTATGGAAGGTAGTCTGTTGTCGAGATTTTGTTACTCTAATGGATGGTAGCCTAGTCATTATGGAAGGTTGTCTATTGTCGAGATCTTTCTCACTATAATGGATGATAGCCTTGTCATTATGGAAGGTAGTCTGTTGGCGAGATTTTTATCACTCCAATGGATGATAGCCTTGTCATTATGGAAGGTAGTCTGTTGGCGAGATTTTCGTTACTCCAATGGATGGTATCCTTGTCATTATGGAAGGTATTATTTTGTCGAGATTTTTTTTACTCCAATGGATAGTAGCCTTGTCATTATGGAAGGTAGTCTGTTGTCGAGATTTTGTTACTCTAATGGATGGTAGCCTTGTCATTATGGAAGGTAGTCTATTGTCGATATTTTTGTCACTCCAAAGGATGGTAGCCTTGTCATTATGGAAGGTAGTCTGTTGTCGATATTTTTGTTACTCCATTGGATGGTAGCCTTGTCATTATGGAAGGTAGTCTATTGTCGAGATTTTTGTCACTCCAATGGATGGTAGCCTTGTCATTAGGGAAGTTAGTATGTTTGCAAGATTTTTGTTACTCCAATGGATGGTAGCCTTGTCATTATAGAAGGTAGTCTCTTGTTGATATTTTCGTTACACCAATGGGTGGTAGCATTGTCATTTTGGAAGGTAGTTTTTTGTCGAGATTTTTGTTACTCCAATGGATAGTAGCCTTGTCATTATGGAAGGTAGTTTGTTGTCGATATTTTGTTACTCCAATGGATGGTAGCCTTGTCATTATGGAAGGTAGTCTATTGTCAAGATTTTTGTCACTCCAAAGAATGGTAGCCTTGTCATTATAGAAGGTAGTCTGTTGTCGATATTTTTGTTACTCCAATGGATGGTAGCCTTGTCATTATGGAAGGTAGTCTCTTGTTGATATTTTCATTACTCCAATGCATGGTAGCCTTGTCATTATGGATGGTAGTCTCTTGTTGATATTTTAATCACTCCAATGGATGGTAGCCTTGTCATTGTGGAAGGTAGTCTCTTGTTGATATTTTCATTAATCCAATGGATGGTAGCCTAGTCATTATGGAAGGTAGTCTGCTGTCGAGATTTTCGTTACTCTAATGGATGGTAGCCTTGTCATTATGCAAGGTAGTCTGTTGTCGATATTTTTGTTACTCCAATGGATAATTGCCTTGTTATTATGGAAGGTAGTCTGTTCTCGAGATTTTTGGCACTCCAATGGATGGTAGCCTTGTCATTATGGAAGTTAGTTTGTCGGAGATATTTTTGTTACTCCAATGGATGGTAGCCTTGTCATTATGGAAGTTAGTTTGTCGGAGATACACTACAAGAAAATTAGTGTTTAACGACACAAAAATTGCGACAGTTATGTGATAACTGTCGTAATTGACATATAGAGACAGTGTTTACGACAGTTGACACCAACCGTCCCTAATATTTATTTTGCGACGGTATATTTAACCATCATAATATTATTATTACGACGGTAAAACAACCGTCGGCCCCCATTTAACACTTTTAACATTGATTTTTCACCAACAACTAGTCACGACGGTAAAATTAACCGTCCTAAAAGGCATATCACGACGGTAAAGCACCCGTCGCACCCTTAAACCTTTCACGACGGTAAAATTATCCGTCCTAAAATTCATTTCACGACGGTAAAACAACCTTCGCACCCAAAACCTTAAAAAATTCTCATGGGCACGACGGTAAAACACCCGTCGCGGTAAAACAATTTTTTTTTGAGATTTATATAAATTTGATTTTATATCCATCATTAACACATTCAAATATAACATGAAATTAAAATTTAGATTTACAAATTATGAACCCTAAAATATATTATCTAATGTCTAGTACTAAAAAAGATCTTAGATTATCAACACAATATCGCTACTTTTTTTTATTCTTTTACTTTCCCACTTTTTTTCAGCAACACAATATCATAATATCAACACAATATCATAATATTTTCAGCAACTAATATTTATTATTAAATTATAAACAAAATACAACAAATAAAAATATAAAAAAACAAAATAGGAGTAACAAACAAAATTGAAAGAGGATTAGGTTTTGTGAAAGAGCTTTTTATCCGATTGAAGCAAAGAACCACCGCCGAAAGTACGATGTTGCGCCTAGAATGGTGAAGCTTCCATTCTTCGAAATTATCCCTTTGTCCTCTTTGTCTTGATGCCACGCTTCCAAATCTGCCTTTGGTTTTCATCAATCCTCGTTCTTCCAAAATCTAATCAACAGTAGAAACCTTAGGAGCTTCAAGACGCAATTAAATGGCAGAGAAGGAGTTTCAGCAGGCGATTCCCGGGGCTTCATCCCTTTTCATCTAAGCAGACATTTCATTCCTTTTATCTACGCTCAAACGCAAACCCCAGCGAAGCAAGAATTGCATCTCGACACCATGAACGGATGGGAAGAAGAGTGTTAGACAACCGATCTCAACGGATTCAAAGACGGTTGTAAAGATGATTCTCGGCGACGAAATATTCAAAGGTATCGTTACTTCTTCTTTCTTACTTGTTTTTCCATATCTTCTTTTATGAGTTCGGCGGAATCCGGTCGATTCTGTTTCTGTTTGCAGTTGATGAAAACGATCGATGACGCATAAAGGTTTAGGATGCGGATTGTTACTCTTCATGGTGAAGCGTCGAAGAAGATGCGTTGTCGATTCATTATGAGCCGCGGAGGAAACTGCCGAAAACCATTAACAATATCATCATCATCATGATAATTGATCAAGGTGACAAAGAAGTTCAAAACACATCATTGAACAAATATGCTTTGGCTTGTGCCCTTGTTGCTTCAATGGTTTCCATTGTCTCTGGCTATGGTAATATTATCACATTCTCTAATCTTTTTCACTTTTTTTTTAATTTCATTTCCCTATCCAACAAAATTGAAGAGAGGTTTTCTAATATATCTTATTATATTTTATGTAAAATGTAAGGTGTGTGACTACTAATTGACTATTCGTGAATTTAGTAGTCATGTATGTATTATTCAATCATTTATATCGAGTCATTTTTTTATAATAACTATTCTACATTGATGATTAATTTCAGATACCAGTGTTATGAGTGGAGCAATGATTTTCATAAAAGAGGATTTGGGAATCAGTGACACACAACAAGAAATTCTAGCAGGAATCTTAAATGTATGTGCATTAGTTGGATCCTTAACAGCTGGAAGAACTTCTGATGTCATTGGTCGTCGATACACAATCTTCTTAGCCTCTATACTCTTCATCATTGGTGCAATTCTAATGGGTTACGGTCCAAACTACGCTGTTATAATGTAGGCGTTTTGGGGGAAGGATGTAACCCGAAGCTATTCATTTACTGTGAAATAGTTACTTAAGAATTGTGTTTGTGTATTTCTGTTTATGCATTCTACTTTTTATGTCATGGTATCTCAAGTGCTGAATTCATTTGCAGCTTATTGATGTTGGCTTCTTTGTCTGTTTCAATTCTTTTCTGTCATTGTTAACTGTGATGCCAACAAGGGTGGTAATGATCGTTTGGAAGCTTCTGAAAACAAGGTTTGCCACCTTTCTTCATGATCTGTCATAATACTTTGATGTCATTCAGTGCACCTGTTAGGATTTAGATGATATACTTATCCCTTTGCATCTTTTTTTTTAGTTTAGAGTTTTCACTTGAGCTGTGAGCATTTAGTTCAATTTTGTATTCAATTTCCAAAATTGTATTAAATTTACGAAGGAAATTGAACATGGTTCGTTTTTGTTGACTCGTAAAAAGGATTTAGATTGGTTTAATGAGACAATCTACCCTGATTTTGTGTTTACCAAAAAAGTTGAATCTATCACATACTTAATGATATGGTCTGCTAATTCATGTGCTTTGATTTGTTGGCTCTTCTACTAATTCTCATGTTTAAAAAATTTGGTGGTGATTCATGATTTCAGTTTAATTATTTAATTTAATACTATCAACATGACCTCGTCATGCTCATGGCAGGAAGTTCAAGAGGCTGTCTCCAGTTGAATTGTCGGATTTTGGCTATTTTATTATTATGGCTTGTGGAATCACTGTTTTGCAGCAAATAGGTTTAGTTCCATATACATATTTCTGTTTTGAATTATCAGGTTGTTTCTTATGCTGAAATTGGTGTTATGCTCACCACTCCTAATTTTTTGTTGTTTTAGATATCAGCTTCATATATCATATAATCCGTGGTCAAGCAACAATCAAACTGTATGTGATCTACAACGTCTTAGAGGTGAGCATAAATTAACCCTTATCCAAATTTTACTTAGTAATTTGCTCTCCTTTCATACCAAATATTTGGACTAACCCTATTATAGATATAGAGCAATAAGATTGTGACCAACATGATATATTCCGAAATATGAAAGAATGGAAGATAACTGAGCTGGCTTTGTGTTGATTTCAATAGGCTTTGTGTTGATTTCAATAGGCTTTGTGTTGATTTCTAACTCTCAAGTATCAATACTTCATTTCTTTCGTAATATAAACACTGACATAGCAGAGCTTTCATTCTTGTACAAGAAAGCATAAAGCTAATATAACTTAACTCAAGCTCATGAGAGCTTGTATAGAGTCTCCCTCATAATATAAAACACCTGTAGTGTAATCAACTATAACTGTTTTAGCTTCCTTGTAACTAGCTGCTTGACAGCCGTCAGTCAGTTAACCACCCTTCACTCATTTCAATCAATTTTCACTTGGAATCACTCTTGTTAGATTAGTCAGTTGGTTATTGCATTAGTTAGCTTTTAGACATGTGCTAGAGTTAAGCTTGCCAGCTGTAGCCAGCTGTTGTAACTGACATAAGAGAGTTAGTTATGGTTAGCTGTACCTATATATATATTAAAGTATTTGATAAGTGCATGACGAGTGTGACCTGTTTGGTGGAATAGTCCTTACGATGATGTGGAATTGTTGAAGATTTGTTTCAGAGTTGTTGAACGAATTTGTGATCATCTTGAAGAAATTGATATTGTGCGTTTTGGCACCAATAATCTCCTTGAATGCATAACTGATAAGTAAGTAATATCCAAGTTAAGTTCATAGATATTTTATTGTTTTCATTTACCAATCTATTTAAAATTTTTACTTCAAATTTTACAGCGCAGTCACCTACATTCCATGCGGTTGGTAGATTGCTGGAATATTTCTGATAAAGGGTGTTGTGAAGCTGTGAGAAAGCTTCTGCGATTAAAGATGATTGATATTTTACTTACCAACTTACACAAAGACTCTCTCAAAATCCTTGGTCGATCTTGCCCTCTTTTGAAGTCACTTACATATTCTATTGAAAGGTCGTTGGAATATCGTGAGTATAATGCTATAGCTTTTGTTATCGCTGAAACTATGTTTGAATTACTTCGATATAGCAGAAGACGAGTTTAACTAATCTTTTACGAAAGTTTGTAACATGAAGAACAAAACGAGTGGCTTATCTGTTCGCACTCTCAAGGTGGAAACTTCGCCAAGCATTGAAACTATAGATTTTTTAAGTAGTTGTTTTTTTTTGTCTAGAAGATTTGTTGGATTCAAGTTTCTGAAGGAGATTGTTTGGATTAAAAAACTGTGAGTTTGGACGGTTGAAAAAATGTGTTAATTCAAAATTTCAGAGGATGAATTAAAATACTTGATTTTGGCAACCTGCATGTTTTATTTGTTCTTTGGCGTGTTCTTTAGAGTTTAATTTTTTTGGATAATATCTTATAATTTGTAACATATTCACTTTCTGTAATAAAGATTTTTTTTTTGGACAGTATATGTTATTGTAAAAGTTGAACTATTGAAGTACTATTGTGTAGTTTTATACTTAATTTTCATGTGTTTCATTCTTGGTTGAATAATATTAAATTTCACAGGGTCAATTTAATTGGAAGGTTTAGAAGAAAATGCAAAGGCCAATGAAACTTCTTAGTTAGTGGTGAGTTACATGAAAGAGGAAACATTTTAGGGATTATGTATTCCTTATTTGTATGTTGAAGCAATTTAAGAGATGAAGTATTTTCTTAGAACCTTGACAGCCTACCATGTTATTGCAAAGGTATATTTTTTATATAGTTTATTCATCACACATGTAAGTTTCTCAATCTTCGTGGTACTTTTTCTTCCATTTCGATAATGAATGTGTTTCTTCGTCATAGCTTCCCATCAGGTGAGCAAGGTTGGTGCTTATTCAAGAATAAAGCAAGAACTAGAGTCAAAGAAACAAGAATTCACCTATGAAGAAGTATTAAGCATTACCAGAAACTTTGAAAAGGTGGTGGGGGAAAGAAGCATCTGAAATAGTCTACCATGGCTGGATTGTGATGATATTGACGTAGCTGTCAAAATGCTATCTTTCTCATCAGCTCAAGGATATCTACAATTTCAAGTAGAGGTAGTATGATTAACTAACTTGCAAATGTCATCATGCCTGTGTGAGTGTAAATACAGTTAACAAGTTTTATCCTTTGTGATTGAAAGGCCAAATGTTTTGCTATAGTTCATCATAAATACTTGACTGGTCTTATAGGGTATTGTGATGATGGCACCTAACAAATGACAATTTTAATGTTTGTTGTTTTATTTACACTACTACACATGTGAGTGAAATATTTGTAGTAAGTGTTATTGAAATTCGAGTCTTTTCGTTTAATTTGTATCAGTTATAACATAGGAACTCTAATCGCTAGATTTGGCCTTTATCAAGGTTACAGATTCAATTTTGCGCTGCTTACATTTTCATCGGGGTTGTTTGCATTCTTCTTTATTTTGTAAGTGATTATTGCTCACATTTTTTTTAAATACATGCTTTCAATTATTATTGTTTATGTTAACCTGTATGACAGTGATTGAGTTACATGGTTGATGTTAATATTACATGAAGGAGTATGAGTACATTGCATAACAACTAATTGCTTGCTTCTATTCCTCCAAGCTGGAGCTTCATCGATCAATTCACTGTATTAGTACAAGGTATTCATGTTCCTCCTGAATGTACATGTAACGTCATAGTAAATTCTATTTTACAGTTTGAAATATTCTGCCCCTTCATATTGAGCGTGTTCTTTTTTATTTAATCATTTTGTTTAAACATGGTTAATGATCTTAGGGACTAGACGCAATGGTTGGTGAACATGGAACTCAACTCTAGGGAGGTCAAAAGCAAAGAGTTGCAATTGGAAGAGCAATTTTGAGATTTTTGTTACTCCAATGGATGGTAGCCTTGTCATTATAGAAGGTAGTCTCTTGTTGATATTTTCGTTACACCAATGGATGGTAGCATTGTCATTATGGAAGGTAGTTTTTTGTTACTCCAATGGATAGTAGCCTTGTCATTATGGAAGGTAGTCTGTTGTCGAGATTTTGTTACTCCAATGGATGGTAGCCTTGTCATTATGGAAGGTAGTCTATTGTCAAGATTTTTGTCACTCCAAAGAATGGTAGCCTTGTCATTATAGAAGGTAGTATGTTGTCGATATTTTTGTTACTCCAATGGATGGTAGCCTTGTCATTATGGAAGGTAGTCTATTGTAGAGATTTTTGTCACTCCAATGGATGGTAGGCTTGTCATTATGGAAGTTAGTGTGTCGGCGATATTTTTGTTACTTCAATGGATGGTAGCCTTGTCATTATGGAAGGTAGTCTCTTGTTGATATTTTTATTACTCCAATGCATGGTAGCCTTGTCATTATGGAAGGTAGTCTCTTGTTGATATTTTCATTATTCCAATGGATGGTAGCCTTGTCATTGTGGAAGGTAGTCTCTTGTTGATATTTTCATTACTCCAATGGATGGTAGCCTAGTCATTATGGAAGGTAGTCTGTTGTCGAGATTTTTGTTACTCCAATGGATAGTAGCCTTGTTATTATGGAAGGTAGTCCGTTGTCGAGATTTTGGTTACTCTAATGGATGGTAGCCTTGTCATTATGGAAGGTAGTTTATTATCAAGATTTTTGTTACTCCAATGGATAGTAGCCTTGTCATTATGGAAGGTAGTCTATTGTCGAGATTTTTGTCACTCCAAAGGATGGTAGTCTTGTCATTATGGAAGGTAGTCTGTTGTCGATATTTTTGTTACTCCAATGGATGGTAGCCTTGTCATTATGGAAGGTAGTCTATTGTCGATATTTTGTCACTCCAATGGATTGTAGCCTTGTCATTATGGAAGGTAGTCTGTTGAAGATATTTTTGTTACTCCAATGGATACTAGCCTTGTCATTATGGAAAGTAGAGTATTGTCGAGATTTTTTTTACTACAATGTATGGTAGCCTTGTCATTGTCAAAGATAGTTTGTTGTCGAGATTTTTGTTATTACAAATGATGGTAGCCTTGTCATTAATGAAGGTAGTCTCTTGTTGATATTTTCATTACTCCAATGGATGGTAGCCTAGTCATTATGGAAGGTAGTCTATTGTCGAGATTTTTGTCACTCCAATGGATGATAGCCTTGTCATTATGGAAGGTAGTATGTTGGCGAGATTTTTGGTACTCCAATGGATGGTAGCATTGTCATTATTGAAGGTAGATTGTTGTTGAGATTTTTGTTACTCTAATGGATGGTAGCCTTGTCATTATGGAAGGTAGTTTGTTGTCAATATTTTTGTTACTCCAAGGGATGGTAGCATTATAATTATGGAAGGTAGTGTGTTGTCGAAAACTTTGTTACTCCAATGGATGGTAGCCTAGTAATTATGGATGGTAGTTTGTTTTCGATATTTTTGTTACTCCAATGGATAGTAGGCTTTTCATTATGGAAGGTAGTCTGTTGTCGATATTTTTTTTTACTCCAATAGATGGTAGCCTTGTCATTATGGAAGGTAGTTAGTTGTCGAAATTTTTGTTACTCCAATGGATGGTAGCCTTGTCATTATGGAACGTAGTTTGTTGTCGATATTTTTGTTATTCCAATGGATGGTAGCCTTATCAATATGAAAGGTAGTTTGTTGTCAAGATTTTTGTTACTCCAATGGATAGCAGGCTTGTCATTATGGAAGGTAGTCAGTTGTCGAGATTTTGTTACTCCAATGGATGGTAGCCTTATCATTATGGAAGGTAGTCTATTGTCGAGATTTTTATCACTCCAAAGGATGGTAGCCTTGTCATTATGGAAGGTAGTCTGTTGTCGATATTTTTGTTAGTCCAATGGATGGTAGCCTTGTCATTATGGAAGGTAGTCTATTGTGGAGATTTTTGGCACTCCAATGGATCGTAGCCTTGTCATTATGGAAGGTAGTCTCTTGTTGATATTTTCATTAATCCAATGGATGGTAGCCTTGTCATTATAGAAGTTAGTTTGATGTCAAGATTTTTGTTACTCCAATGGATGGTAGCCTTGTCATTATGGAAGGTAGTCTATTATTGAGATTTTTGTTACTCTAATGGATGGTAGCATTGTCATTATGGAAAGTAGATTGTTGTCAAGATTTTTGTTACTACAATGTATGGTAGCCTTGTCATTGTGGAAGGTAGTTTGTTGTCGAGATTTTTGTGATTACAATGTATGGTAGCCTTGTCATTATAGAAGGTAGTCTCTTGTTGATATTTTCATTACTCCAATGGATGGTAGCCTAGTCATTATGGAAGGTAGTCTGTTGTCGAGATTTTTGTTACCCTAATGGATGGTAGCCTTGTCATTATGGAAGGTAGTTTGTTGTCATGATTTTGGTTACTCCAATGGATAGTAGCCTTTTCATTATGGAAGGTAGTTTGTTGTCGAGATTTTGTTATTCCAATGGATGGTAGCCTTGTCATTATGGAAGGTAGTCTATTGTCCAGATTTTTGTTACTCTAATGGATGGTAGCCTTGTCATTATGGAAGGTAGTTTGTTATCGAGATTTTTGTTACTCCGATGGATAGTAGACTTGTCATTATGGAAGGTAGTCTGTTGTCGAGATTTTGTTACTCTAATGGATGGTAGCCTTGTCATTATGGAAGGTAGTCTATTGTCGATATTTTTGTCACTCCAAAGGATGGTAGCCTTGTCATTATGGAAGGTAGTCTGTTGTCGATATTTTTGTTACTCCAATGGATGGTAGCCTTGTCATTATGGAAGGTAGTCTATTGTCGAGATTTTTGTCACTCCAATGGATGGTAGCCTTGTCATTAGGGAAGTTAGTATGTTGGCGAGATTTTTGTTACTCCAATGGATGGTTGCCTTGTCATTATAGAAGGTAGTCTCTTGTTGATATTTTCGTTACACCAATGGGTGGTAGCATTGTCATTTTGGAAGGTAGTTTTTTGTCGAGATTTTTGTTACTCCAATGGATAGTAGCCTTGTCATTATGGAAGGTAGTCTGTTGTCGATATTTTGTTACTCCAATGGATGGTAGCCTTGTCATTATGGAAGGTAGTCTATTGTTAAGATTTTTGTCACTCCAAAGAATGGTAGCCTTGTCATTATAGAAGGTAGTCTGTTGTCGATATTTTTGTTACTCCAATGGATGGTAGCCTTGTCATTATGGAAGGTAGTCTATTGTAGAGATTTTTGTCACTCCAATGGATGGTAGGCTTGTCATTATGGAAGTTAGTCTGTCGGCGATATTTTTGTTACTTCAATGGATGGTAGCCTTGTCATTATGGAAGGTAGTCTCTTGTTGATATTTTTATTACTCCAATGCATGGTAGCCTTGTCATTATGGAAGGTAGTCTCTTGTTGATATTTTCATTATTCCAATGGATGGTAGCCCTGTCATTGTGGAAGGTAGTCTCTTGTTGATATTTTCTTTACTCCAATGGATGGTAGCCTAGTCATTATGGAAGGTAGTCTGTTGTCGAGATTTTCATTACTCTAATGGATGGTAGCCTTGTCATTATGCAAGGTAATCTGTTGTCGATATTTTTGTTACTCCAATGGATAGTAGCCTTCTTATTATGGAAGGTAGTCTGTTGTCGAGATTTTGGTTACTCTAATGGATTGTAGCCTTGTCATTGTGGAAGGTAGTTTGTTATCAAGATTTTTGTTACTCCAATGGATAGTAGCCTTGTCATTATGGAAGGTAGTCTATTGTCGAGATTTTTGTCACTCCAAAGGATGGTAGCCTTGTCATTATGGAAGGTAGTCTGTTGTCGATATTTTTGTTACTCCAATGGATGGTAGCCTTGTCATTATGGAAGGTAGTCTATTGTCGATATTTTGTCACTCCAATGGATGGTAGCCTTGTCATTATGGAAGGTAGTCTGTTGAAGAGATTTTTGTTACTCCAATGGATAGTAGCCTTGTCATTATGGAAAGTAGACTATTGTCGTGATTTTTTTTACTATAATGTATGATAGCATTGTCATTGTCAAAGATAGTTTGTTGTCGAGATTTTTGTTATTACAAAGTATGGTAGCCTTGTCATTATAGAAGGTAGTCTCTTTTTGATATTTTCATTACTCCAATGGATGGTAGCCTAGTCATTATGGTAGGTAGTCTATTGTCGAGATTTTTGTCACTCCAATGGATGATAGCCTTGTCATTATGGAAGGTAGTATGTTGGCGAGATTTTTGTTACTCCAATGGATGGTAGCATTGTCATTATTGAAGGTAGATTGTTGTTGAGATTTTTGTTACTCTAATGGATGGTAGCCTTGTCATTATGGAAGGTAGTTTGTTGTCAATATTTTTGTTACTCCAAGGGATGGTAGAATTATCATTATGGAAGGTAGTGTGTTGTCGAAAACTTTGTTACTCCAATGGATGGTAGCCTAGTAATTATGGATGGTAGTTTGTTTTCGATATTTTTGTTACTCCAATGGATAGTAGGCTTTTCATTATGGAAGGTAGTCTGTTGTCAATATTTTTTTTACTCCAATGGATGGTAGCCTTGTCATTATGGAAGGTAGTTTGTTGTCGAAATTTTTGTTACTCCAATGGATGGTAGCCTTGTCATTATGGAACGTAGTTTGTTGTCGATATTTTTGTTATTCCAATGGATGGTAGCCTTATCAATATGGAAGGTAGTTTGTTGTCAAGATTTTGTTACTCCAATGGATGGTAGCCTTATCATTATGGAAGGTAGTCTATTGTCGAGATTTTTTCACTCCAAAGGATGGTAGCCTTGTCATTATGGAAGGTAGTCTGTTGTCGATATTTTTGTTAGTCCAATGGATGGTAGCCTTGTCATTATGGAAGGTAGTCTATTGTCGAGA